GGGGGGGCACGTGCCAGGGGTGGGCTGGGCAAGCCGGGGGGCATGTGCCAGGGTGGGCTGGGCCAGGAGGGGCTGTTAGGTTCTCCTGGGCGCCAGGCTGGGGGCCGTGCCATGGGGTGATGTGAGGGACAGAGGGCCCATGCCCCCCACGGCTGGCAGTGCCCCCCCACGGCTCCTGCCCCCCGTCAGTGCCCGCCCCCTGGTCAGCAGTGCCTCACCCTGGCTGGCACTGCCCCCCCCCCACTGGCAGCGTCCACTGCCCCCCACAGCTCCCCCCCGGTCTGGCACCGCCCATCCAGCACCCCCCCACACACCTGGCAGTGCCCACCCCCAGTTAGCAGTGCCCCTCTCCCGCTGGTAGCTCCCCCCCCCAGCTGGCAGCATCCGCCCCCCTCACCCCGCAGCGCCCACCACCCTGCCTGCCCGGCAGCCCCCCAAACCCGGCAGTGCCCGCCCAGGGCCGGCAGCGCCCGCCCCCTCACCGAGGATGGCCACCACCATGTCGCGGCGCAGGATCTCGATGGAGCCGCGGGAGATGAAGTAGAGCGCGGTGAGCACATCGCCGGCATGCACCAGCGTGTCGCCGGGCGGGGCGTGCGTGGTCTTGAACTTCATGGCCAGGGCGCGCAGGCAGCCCTTGCTGGCCCCCTGGAAGGGTCGGCAGCTCTGCAACAGGCTGCGGTTGAGGTGCAGGCAGATGTCAGCTTGCAGGCACTCGGGGAAGCCCTTCAGCACCTGCGGGCGGGCGGGAGAGACCCCATTACCGGGGAGGGCACCGCGCAGCGGGGGCAGAGAGCGCAGGGGCTCGCCGTGGGCACCAGTGGGGGCTGGCACAGATGGCTGTGCCCATGGCCGTGTGCTGGTCTGCATGGGCCATTTGGATTGGTTGTGGCTCTGTGTGTGTCTCTGGGTTTGTGTGTGAGTGTGTGGGGTGTAGGTGTATGCAATTGTGTGTGGGTGTGACGAAGTGGGGGATTTTCTTGTTTTTTCCTCGTTTTTCCAATGGTTTGCATGCAGAGGGGGTGGGACTCAGTGTCCCTGGGTGTTACTGGTTTAACGAGGTGAGGGGAGAGGGAGTTTGTTGTTACAGAGGACCGGAGAGGGGACTTGGGACCCCAGCCAATGGCCTGGAGGAGGGACACCCCAGCGACTGGTGACCTGGTGACCCAGAGGCCCAGCTCGGGAGTCACAGTCGGTTCTGGCCAGTGGGAGGACAATGGGCTGCGGAGTGAGGACCCCAGTGACCTGACCAGCCGGTTCCAGCCAGAGGACAGAAGAGGGGAGAGGAGGTCCCAGTTTACGACCCTGTTTACCTGGAGAGAAGACAATGGACAGAGACGGGGCTTGGGGCCGGGGGTATCAGATGCTCAGCTGGGAAGCAGGGGGGCTCGGGGCTGGAGAGGGGGAGCAGGCAGAGCCCACCTGGAGGCAGAGAGACTGGGATGTGCTGGGCTGAGGGAGGCCAGGCCTGAGGCCGGGAGAGTTTCCTGTGCTGTGTTCAACGCTCAATAAACCTCCTGTGTTACGCTGGCTGAGAGTCGCTCCGGGCTAGAGAACAGGGTGGCATCGTCCCCTTCGGGGGGTGGAGGCCCCAGGGGTCCAGAGCGAGGGGACTCCCTGAGGGGGCCCACGGCGAGAGACGGACGTGCTCAGGCTCAGAGAGGTGCGGCTCCAGGAGGTGGAGGGGCCTGACCCCGGGAGAGAGTGGACCCCCGAGAAGGGCTGTCACACTGAAAGGGGCTCCCCCCATGGACTGCATGGGGCCAAGAGGGGGCACGACCTGTGAGTCCGTGACAACGGGTATACAGGTGTGGGTGGGTGTGCTCGTGTGTATATGTGTGTGTATGGGTCTGTACGTCTCTGTGTGTGTCTGTACATCCCTGGCTGTGTAGAGGTGTGTGTGTGTGTCTAGCTGTGACGGGGTGTGTGTGTGTGTGTGTCTCTATGTAGGGGTGTGTGTGTCTGTGGGTATGTGTCTGTACGTCTCTGGCAGTGCAGGGATGTGTGTTGTGTGTCTCTGTGCAGTGGGGTGTGTGTGTCTGTGTGTGTGTGTCTGTACGTCTCTGGCTGTGCGGGGTGTGTATCTGTGTGTGCGCGCACACGTGCTGCAGGTGTGGGGGGCTCTGCAGGGCCATTACGGCTCAGTGTCCAGGGCGCTGAGCCAGGCCCTGGGGATGGGCAGAGGGAGGTGGCACAGCCTGCGGGTGTGTTGCGGAGCGAGTGCCCCTCTGCCCATGGTGCTGTTTGCTGCCAGTCACCCAGCTCTGGGGTGTCCAGAGTCCAGGCCTGGGGCTGGCATGAGGGGGGTGTGGGCACCGTGCACAGGGTGGGGCGCTGAGCTCATGCCATGCCCATGGTGCAGGACCAGGTGGGATGAAGTGGAGTTTTCCCCTTTTGATGTTGTACGTGAGTAACTGTTCTGCATGAATACTGGGTGTGCCTCAGTTTCCCTGTGTATTGCACCATAGCCCAGGTGGTGGGGATAAGGGTGTGTGACGTTATTGACATGAACGGTGACCGTATAGATCATTGTTGCAACCACTGTTATAGATTTGCAGCAAATATTGTACAAAGCTTGTCGTGTGAGGTGTCTATGAAGAGGTTATGGTTTGCTGGTTATGATTATGCTGTCTGTATTCATGTATCATTTTGGTATTTGAAGGTATGAATATTGGCTCTGTACTTGTATCTCAAGGTGTTTGATTCTAAATAGCCTCAGTGAAGCATTTGGGCAGCTTCTTAAGGAGGGACAATTCTCAGTAAGTGCCCAATCAAGAAACACTGAACTGACACTGAACTTTGGGAGATGCCAATCCACATCTGAGCTTTCCTGGGAACGTTCAAACTAACATGTACACAATGGCGTCGGCCTGCAAAAACTGAATCATTCATAGACGTGGGACTTGCCCAGGTGACTCCAAACTCCATCTTGTTACTGTGATTTTGCACAGGAGAACCAAGGGGTTTCCGCCCACAAGAGAGAGAATATAAAAGGCCCTGGAAACTCCTCCATCTTGTCTTCAATCCTGCTTCTTTCCTCTGGAGGAACCTTGCTACAAGCTGAAGCTTTGAACAAAGGACTGAGGACCCATCCCAGCGGGGGATGTTCCAGAGACTTGATTTGAACCTGCAGTTTATTCTATCACTGCTACAAGCCTGAACCAAGAACTTTGCCATCACTGTATGTAATTGATTCCATTTAACCAATTCTAACTCTCATCTCTATCTTTTTCCTTTTATGAATAAACCTCTAGATTTTAGATCTAAAGGATTGGGGACAGCGTGATTTGTGGGTAAGATCTGATTTGTATATTGACCTGGGTCTGCGGCTTGGTCCTTTGGGATCAGGAGAACCTTTTTCTTTTACTGGGGTATTGGTTTTCATAACCATTTGTCCCCATAACGAGTGGTACTGGTGGTGATACTGGGAAACTGGAGTGTCTCCGGGAATTGCTTGTGTGACTTGTGGTTAGCCAGTGGGGTGAGACCGAAGTCCTCTTAGTCTGGCTGGTTTGGTTTGTGTTAGTAATAAAGGACACTCAGCCTGGGGCTGTGACTGCCCTGCTCTAAGCGATTTGTCCTGAGTTGATACTCTCAGTTGGGTCCCGCCAAAGGCCGCTTTGTTCCAGGGTGTGTGACCTTTGCTGAGGCCCTCGGGGGCAGGGAAGGCTGCTCCAGGTGCCTGCATGTAAGAGATGGATGGTGCCCTTCGGAACCTGAGAGCCAGGAGGGCGGATGCGACCAGGTGACATAACATGTCTGTGTCACACGCTGGCTGGGAGTCATGGCTGGCTGCGGAGTGGGGGGCAGGGCCCCTCTGGCTTCCCCAGGGGTCCAAGCCAGGTGGCCCCGCTGTGGGAAGCGCACGGTGAGACCAGGGGGCAGAATGCTCCGAGGTCAGACCCGGGGAGCCCGTAGCCCAGGAGGCTCCATGCCCTGGACAGCCCCGAGAGGAGTCGCCCACCCCAGAGTCCTGGCTGGCTTCATACCGAGCAGCCCCAGGGCACCGGGCTGTGACTCCGAGACACCCAGAATGTGGGAAGTGCTCCTACAGGGCGGGTGCAGTGGGTGAGGGGGCTCTGGGTCCGTCGGGGGAGCTGGGTGCATTGGGTCAGTTGGGGAGCCGGCCGTGCTGAGTGCAGGGGCCGTGCCGCGGGGTCCGTCGGGGGCGCTGGGTGAATCGGGGAGCCGGCCGTGCTGAGTGCAGGGGCCGTGCCGCAGCTCACCGCGTTCATGTCGATGCCATTGGTGTAGGACCAGGCGTGCTGGAAATACTCCTCCAGGCGCTGGCGCAGCGGGTTGGGGATCTGGTGGAAGCGGATGAACTCGCGGACCCGCAGCATCTGGGTGTGGTAGCGGGCGGTGCCCGAGTAGAGGCGCTGGATGATGGCCGAGACGTTCCCGAAGATGCTGGCGTACATCAGGGCTGGAGGCAGAGAGGCAGCAGGTGAGCGTGCGGATGCACACACACGTGCACGAGCACACACATACGTGCTCACGCACACACACACATACGCAACCCCCTTCCCCGCCACGCCTCCCAGCATGGTCCCCTGGGGCGGGTGGGATGGGGCAGGCAGGGGACGGGCGAGAGGCAGACGCAGGTGTGGGTGAGGCAGGGAGTGAGCGGGTGCAGGCAGGGCAGGCAGGCAGGGCGGGCGCAGGGGGTGGGTCGGCGGGCAGGGGACGGGTGCAGGCAGGGGGCAGGCGCAGGTAGGGGCAGGCAGGGCAGCGGGCGGGTGCAGGCAGGGGGCGGCAGGGGGCGGGCGGGCGCAGGCAGGGGGCAGGCAGGGGGCAGGCAGGGCAGACGCAGGCAGGGCACGTGCAGGCAGCGCCCGGCCCCCACTCACAGCCGATGAGCATGACGCAGATGGAGAAGATCTTCTCGGAGTTGGTGTTGGGGGAGACGTTGCCGAAGCCCACGCTGGTCAGGCTGCTGAAGGTGAAGTAAAGCGCGGTGACGTACTTGTCCTTGATGCTGGGCCCCTGCAGCGGGACGCTGCGGTTCAGGGGCTTGCCAATCTGGTCGCCCAGCGCGTGCAGCCAGCCGATGCTCTGCTGCTCCATGTTGCCGATGGCATACCAGATGCAGGCCAGCCAGTGGGCGATGAGGGCGAAGGTGCACATGAGCAGGAAGAGCACGGCTGCCCCGTACTCCGAGTAGCGGTCCAGCTTACGGGCTACGCGCACCAGCCGCAGCAGCCGGGCCGTCTTCAGCAGCCCGATCAGCGTGGTGGTCTGAGGGCAGAGCAGAGAGGGGCAGGGGTCAAAGCCACGGGGACCATTCTGCTCCCCGCGGCCGGCGTCCCGCAGAGCCCAGGGCCGGGCTCCCCCTGTGGCCCCTGCATCCGGCCCAGCCTGTCCAGCCTCCCACAGAGTCCAGGGCTGGGCTCCCCCCGGAGCCCCTGCATCCGGCCTGGCTGGCTGAGCCAGAGCAGGGCTGTTAGAGATGCCCGTGTTCAGCTGCTTTCCCCACAGCCCCCAGGTCCTTCCCCGAGCCTCTGCGCCCCAGGATACAGCCCCATCTGGGGAATGCGACCCCCACCCTGGCCCCAGCTGGCCTGGTGGTTAGTCAGATTAATGCACATTAAAACACCTGCCAGCGGCTCTCAAACGTTTGTCCTGGTGACCGACCCCTTTCACAGCCAGGCTCCGAGTGCGACCCCCCCCTTATACATTACAACCATGGTTTGAATATTTAACACCATTAGAGATGCTACCGGCGAAGTGGGGCTTGGGGGCGACCCTCCACTTAACCTCGCGACCCCCTGAGCCAGGGGCGGCCAACCTGGGGCTCCGGAGCCGCATGCGGCTCTTCAGGGGTTAACATGCAGCTCCTTGTACAGGCACCGACACCGGGGCTGGAGCTACAGGCGCCAACTTTCCAATGTGCTGCTCAACCCCTGCCTCTGCCCCAGGCGCTGCCCCCACTCGACCCCTTCCCGCCCCCTCCCCTGAGCCGGCTGTGCCCTCGCTCCTCCCCCCACAAAGCCTCCTGCACACCATGAAACAGCTGATCCGGAGGTGCAGGGATGGAGGCGGAGGTGCTGATCGGTGGGGCTGCCGATGGGTGGGAGGCGCTGGGAGTGGGATGGGGGAACGGATGGGGGGCTGCTGACATATTACTGTGGCTCTTTGGCAATGTACATTGGCAAATCTGGCTCCTTCTCAGACTCAGGTTGGCCACCCCTGGGGGGGTCCCGACCCTGTTTGAGAACCCCTGGTCTAGAGAATACTTAGTCCTGCCCCGCGTGCAGGGGACTGGATTAGGTGACCTCTCGAGGTCCCTCCCAGCCCTACGACTCTGTGATTCTATGATCTCGTTCACAATATCTTTATGAAGGCTGTGTGTGCCTCAGTTTCCCCACATGCTGCACTGTTACCTGGGGAGGGGGAAGGCCTGTCTGCTCTCAGGGCAGGCTGGGAGTCGCTAGCTGCCGGGGCCCTAACCCCATAGCAGTGCAGCATGAGAGGACAATGGCAAATCCAATGGCCAGGACGTGGACACCTAGCAATCCACGCTCCAGAGAGATCTGGACCCCCCTGAGCTACAGCCCCCAGCTCGGGATCACAGGGCTGGGGGAGGGGGGGTTACGTGGGGCTGTGGGAAGCAGTCGGGCTCTCACCTGGAGTCTGACCAGGGAGGCTGCACAGACAGACAGATCCGGACCCCAGGGTTCCCCACAGCCGGGCTGGGCTCGGGGCTGGCCAGGACGGACCCTGCTTCACCTTTCATTGTCCCGGGCTGCCCTAAGGCCCCTAGGCCGGGCGCCCGCTAACGACTGAACCTGGCTGTGCCTGCGCTGGGAGTGTCCCTGCCAGGGCTGGGCGAGGGGCCCTGATCCCTGCGAGCGGCCGAGTCTCCCTCAGGGGTGTCTCCTGGGGACTCGCTGCCCGGACCTCGCGGGGGGGCTGCAGGCCCAGAGGGCCAGTCTAGGGGGTGGTGAGGCCGCGTGGCTCACCCTGGAGGCAGAGCGGGACCCCCAGGTGGGCTGGCCCAGTGAAGGGGCCGCCCAGAGACCGTCCCAAAGCTGGGGGCGCAGCCCCGAGCCTGTGGGTCCGTGACAGGGGGCTAAGCTGGAAGGTGGCTGGGCGGGACAGGGCTGGGCTGGAAGGTGGGTGGCTTAGATGGGAATGGGGCTGGAAAGTACCTGGGTTGGACGGGGGCAGGATTGGATCAGACGGGGCGGGGCTGGAGAGGGCCTGGGTTATACAGGGGTGGGGCCAGCCCCCCACCCCCACGGCAGGGCCGGAGTCGCCCCAGGGCCAGCGGGGTCGTTACCTCCTCGGAGCCGGAGCCAGAGCCGAAGATGAGCAGGTCGAAGGGGATGGCGGCCACCATGTCGATGAGGAACCAGCCTTTGAAGTAGTGGATGGCGATGCGGCCCGGGTGGCTCACCACCTCCTCGTTGGAGTTGACGTAGGTGGTGCGGAAGTTGATGACAATGTCGATGAGGAACATGATGTCCACCAGCAGGTCAACCACGGTGAGCGGGCTGCAGGAGTAGCCGCAGGTGTGCCGCAAGTCCTCCTGCTGATCGTTGAGCAGGAAGGCGGCTGAGTAGGGCGTGAAGACGGCCGTGTAGATGACCAGCAGCAGGATGAGCCAGTCCCACACCGCCTTGAAGGGGCTGTAGTGCAGGATGGTCCATTTGTGGATGCGCGGTGCCTGCAGCTTGTACTCCGGGAGCACATCGGCCCCGAGGGACAGGACCTGCGGGGACACGGGGCTGGGGAGCCGGGCGACGAGCCTGCCGGGCAGGGCCATGGGCATCACGCGGCACACCCCAAGCCGGGCTCCCAGCATGCAATGCTCCAACCTGCCCGAGAGCCCGCCTGCTCCCTGAGTACCACGCCGCCCGCTCGGCCCCCGTCCACTCCCTGAGCACGGCACCTCCCCCCTGAATCCCCCCATTCCCTGAGCACGGTGCCCCCGGCTGAGCCCCCCACCCTGCTCCCTGAGCACGGCACTCCCCAAACACAGCACCCCCCCGCTAAGCCCCCGTCCACTCCCCAAGAACGATGCCCCCTGTTGAGCTGCCCCCTCCAGTACGGTGCCCCCTGCTGAGCCCCTAAATTTAAATTAAATAAATTAAAAATTAAATTAATGGAGATATCCTATCTCCTAGAACTGGAAGGGACCTTGAAAGGTCATTGAGTCCAGCCCCCTGCCTTCACTAGCAGGACCAAGTACTGGTTTTGCCCCAGATCCCTAAGTGGCCCCCTCAAGGATTGAACTCACAACCCTGGGTTTAGCAGACCACTACTCAAACCACTGAGCTGTCCCTCCCCCCTCACGCCCTTTGGCCCAGTGCCTCCTACCGCTGCACTGGGGCCAGCACTGACTGAGAGGGGATGGTGCTCCCAGGCCTGGTCTCTGCATCCCTGAGCCGTCCTTTGCTGCCCCCCATCTAAGAGCTGCACCCAGTGCAGGGTGGGAGCAGGGCCGGTGCTGAGGACCCCACAGACAGACGGCCCTGCACCTCTCGAGCACCCGGGCAGCACATCAGCTGTGTCTGGGGTGTGTGCGGGTGATGGCCACACAAACTGGGCCCCTGCCCAGGAGCACGGGGGGCTACCGGTGCGCCAGGAGCATTAATTCGGAAGCAGCTGCGCTGCTGAACTGTGACATTACTGACATTAACTGGGACCGTATAGATCATTGTTGCAATCAAGGTCCTGTAGAGGCACCAAATCTTGTACAAAGGGGGTCCAATAAGGTGTCTATGACAAGGTTCTGGTTGGCTGGTTATGATGATGCTCTCTGGGTGCATGGATCATTTTTGTATTTAAAGTTACAATTATTGGCGCTATACTGTCTGTGACGGTGCCCCCAATAAGGCTTTATGGAATATGCTTATGAACGTATATGTGACATAACTGGAATATGTTTTATGTTACATGGCACATGTAGCCTATCTCTGTAAAGGTTATGATCCACTGAATCTATTCATCCTATTTGTATGCATGTGTCATTGTTGTATTCGAAGTTATTAATATTGGCTGTGTACTGGTTTGATTTTAAATAACCTTAGTAAAGCTTTTGGGCAGCTTCTTGAGAAAAGTGCAAATTAAGTGCCCAATCAAAAACCATTTAAGCCAACAATGAACTTGAAGATGCCAGTCCACATCTGAGCCTTCCCAGGAATGTGGCTTGGCTGGTAAAAACTGAGTCCTGTATGGACATGTGACTTGCCCATGTGACTCCAAAACTCCATCTTGGAGCTGGACTTTGCATAGGAGAGAGGAGGGGGTCTCCGCTCACAAGAGAAAGTCTATTTATACCCCTGGGAGAGCCCTCTATTTTGTCCTCAGCTGGCTCGAGAGAGAGCCTCTCCACCCCCCAGGATACCTGAAAGAGACTGGAACAAAGGACAGTAACTACAGTGGGTGTGAGTGATTGCTGGACCCAGAATAGAAGGAGATTAGTCTGTAAAAGGAAGCTTACTGGGTGAGGATTTTATCTATATTCAGTTTCTTAGACATAGACTTGCGTGTTTTATTTTATTTTACTTGGTAATTCACTTTGTTCTGTCTGTTACTACCTAGAACCACTTAAATCCAACTTTCTGTATTTAATCAAATCACTTTTTACTTATTAATTAACCCAGAATATGTGTTAATACCTGGGGGGGGGGGCAAACAGCTGTGTATATCTCTCTATCAGTGTTATAGAGGGCGAACAATTTATGAGTTTGCCCTGCATAAGCTTTATATAGAGTAAAACGGATTTATTTGGGGGTTGGACCCCATTGGGAGCTGGGCATCTGAGTGTTAGAGCCAGGAACACTTTTAAAGCTGCTTTCGGTTAAGCCTACAGCTGTTAGGGGACGTGGTTCAGACCTGGGTCTGGGTTTGCAGCAGGCTAGCGGGTCTGGCTCAAACCAGGCAGGGCACTGAAGTCCTAAGCTGCCAGGGCAGAAAGCAGGGGCAGAAGTAGTCTTGGGACATCAGTTGGCAACACCAAGGGGGTTTCTGTGATCCAACCCGTCACACTCTCTGTATTTCAAACTTATGCTGTGCTTCTGGGTGACACCCCAGACAATTTGGTGTCAGCTCGGCCTAGCCTGCTTGATGGCCCATTAAGGATCATCAACTATACAACTGACCCATTGAGAGAAGGCAGATACGCCTTGTAACTCAGCAAGGCAGGGACAGGCCTAGGGACCGAACTCTAAGGTTTTTCTATGCCACGTGCTGGGTAGCTTGTGTTTGGAACAAAAGAAGCACAGGCCACATGGCAAGAGACTATAAAAGGCTGCTGCATCTCCTCCATCTTGTCTTCAATCCTGCTTCTGACCTCTGGAGGGACTTTGCTACAAACTGAAGCTTTGAACAAAGGACTGAAGGACCCATCCCAGCTGGGGATGTTCCAGAGACTTGATTTGAACCTGCAGTTTATTCTATCACTGCTGCAAGCCTGAACCAAGAACTTTGCCATCACTGTATGTCATTGATTCCATTTAACCAATTCTAACTCGCATCTCTATCTTTTTCCTTTTATGAATAAACCTTTAGATTTTAGATTCTAAAGGATTGGCAATAGCGTGATTTGTGGGTAAGATCTGATTTGTATATTGACCTGGCTCTGGGGCTCGGTCCTTTGGGATCAAGAGAACCTTTTTTCTTTTACTGCGGTATTGGTTTTCATAACCATTTGTCCCCATAACGAGTGGCACTGGTGGTGATACTGGGAAACTGGAGTGTCTAAGGAGATTGCTTGTGAGACTTGCGGTTAGCCAGTGGGGTGAGACCAAAGTCCTCTCTGTCTGGCTGGTTTGGTTTGCCTTTGTGTGCAAAGGAACCCCAGCCTTGGGCTGTAACTGCCCTGCTCTAAGCAATTTGTCCTGAATTGGCACTCTCAGTTGGGTCCCACCAAAGCCAGCATCGGTACAGTCATTAAACAATGTCATCCAGGCATCTGCTACAACAGTAGTACCGTAGAACTTTGTCCAGCAAGAGAAGCTACCCTTGGATCTATCAGAGATATCCATTGAAAATGTACTGGAAAAAGCAAGGACTTCATCCCAATAAAGGCTTGGACCTGCTTTGTGGTTTGCGGGGTGGGCCAGTCTCTGATCACCTCCACTTTGGCTGGTTCCGGCTTTAGGCAGCCGCTCCCCACCCGGTGACCTAGGTAGGATACCTCAGCCATCCCCACCTTGCACCTCTCAGGTTTTACGGTCAGCCCAGCCTCCTGGAGTCGGTCCAGCACTTGTTTGACCTGGGACATGTGGTCCTCCCAGGTCTGGCTAAAGACGCAGATGTCGTCAATATACGCCACGGCAAAACTCTCCATCCCCCTCAGTAGCTGATCCACCAGGCGCTGGAAGGTGGCCGGTGCTGCCTTGAGGCCGAAAGGCAGGGTCAGGAACTCATAGAGCCCCAGAGGGGTGATAAAGGCCGATTTCAGCCTGGCATCTGCATCCAGCGGTACTTGCCAGTAGCCCTTTGTAAGATCCATGGTGGTCAGGTACCGAGCGCCTCCCAGCTTGTCTAGGAGCTCGTCAGGCCTGGGCATGGGGTAGGCATCGGCTACAGTGATGGCATTGAGCTTCCGATAGTCCACACAGAGCCAGATCGACCCGTCCTTTTTGGGGACCAGCACCACTGGTGAGGCCCAAGGACTGGAAGATGGCCGGATCACCCCCAAAGCCAGCATGTCATTGACCTCTCTTTCCAGGTCCTGAGCAGTTTTCCCTGTGACTCGGAAGGGGGAGCATTTTATAGGCAGGTGCGATCCTGTCTGCACCCAGTGGACAGTCAGATTAGTGCGTCCCGGCTGGTTGGAAAACAGCTGTCCGTACAGATGCAGCACCCCTCTGATCTCAGCTTGCTGGGCCGGGCTCAGCTGATCAGAGAGGGGAATTGCTTCCAGGGGGAAACCAGCTCTTGTCCCAGGGAATAGATCTGCTAAAGGGTCATCTCCCTGCTCCTCCCAATGTCCACACACGGCCAATACCACATTCCCCCTGTCATAATATGGCTTCATCATATTCACATGGTAAACCCGGTGGTGGTGTGCCCGGTTCGACAGCTCCACCACATAGTTTACCTCGTTTAGTTGCTTGACAACCTTGAAGGGCCCTTCCCAGGCGGCCTGGAGTTTGTTTTTCCTCACGGGGATGAGGACCATCACCTGATCCCCGGTGGCGAAGGCGCGGGCCCGCGCTGTGCGATCATACCAGACCTTCTGCTTCCTCTGGGCTCTGGCCAGATTCTTCCTTGCCAGGCCCATGAGCTCGGCAAGTCGTTCCCGGAAGGTCAGGACATACTCCACCACCGACTCTCCATCGGGAGTGGCCTTCCCCTCCCATTCGTCCCTCATCAGGTCCAGGGGCCCCCTTACCCGCCGTCCATATAACAGTTCGAAAGGCGAAAACCCGGTAGACTCCTGGGGTACCTCCCGGTACGCGAACAGCAGGTGAGGTAAGTACTTGTCCCAGTCCTGCGGGTGCTGGTTCATAAATGTTTTTAGCATCATCTTTAGCGTCCCATTGAACCTCTCCACCAGCCCGTTGGATTGGGGGTGATAGGCTGAGGCCCAGTTGTGCCGAACCCCACATTTCTCCCACAAGCACCAGAGTAGGGCTGACATGAAGTTGGACCTTTGTCTGTTAAGACTTCCTTGGGAAACCCCACTCGGCTGAAAATGGTCAGCAGCACATCTACCACAGTGTCTGCTTCGCTGGACGATAAGGGCACAGCCTCGGGGTAGCGGGTGGCGAAATCTACCACCACCAGAATGTATTTCTTCCCTGACCGGGTCGTCTTGCTGAGAGGTCCCACTATGTCCATGGCCACCT